TAGCAAGCTCGCACTAATATTTTTTAACTATTAAGACTGGCTATCTAGCTATGCTCTAATAGTTATGTTTTAATTATCTAAAAAGCTCAACGGCTAAATCTTGCCTTACTGTTTGATTATCAACAAATCTTACAGTTGCGTAAGCAGGGCATAGGATCACAAGATGCAACAAGGAAAGATCTTGGATTATTGGAAAAGCTACGCTAGGGATGTTTGTCCTTTAATATTTTATTTCACTGTGGTATGGGTCATAGTCCTACGGACTCAGCTTTTTTTAAAAAAAAAATACGAGCTTGCTATGAAGAGCGGACTTCGTTCTAGCGAAGCTAGCCCCCTATTCCCTATTCCCTGACCCCCTACGGGGGTAGGGAATTAGAGAATCAGGAATCAGCCAGCATATTTTTTCGGAGAAAAAATCCGCCCGCTGAGACTTCGTCTACCCGTGCTATATTGAGAAGTAAAAATAATTAATAATATATTGGGTTAATTTCAAAAATTACTTACGCGTTGCTTTACGAGACTCCGTCTATAAAGCTCGCTATGTAAATTTGAAGCGAAATTTATCTTAGCATAAATTATAAGATAAAGACGTTCAACGACTATAAGGTGAGTTATATGCACAGTTTGCGAGGAAGAGCCAGCTAGCCGATATATAAAGCTAGTTGCTTTTACTTGCAGGCTAAACAATAATCCTTTTTTACACCCAACATTATTATTATATATATATATATAAAAAAAAATAAAAGAAAGAATAAATATTTAGAAAAATGAATAAAGACGGTAACGTAGTATTCCCGGCTACGCCGGGAATCGTTAACTTTCAAGCCGCCTCTTCTAAAGGTGGGCAAGGCAAAGTTAGCTCGAAAATTTATAATAATAATTTAAAACAATCTAAAACAATACTTTTAAAGAAAAAAATAGGTGATATAGGAATAACCAAATATTTACCTTCATTTTCTAAAGAATGAAAGAATACTATCTATTCTTATAATAAAAATACATTAAAGAATATACCAGTTAATGATTTAAATATAAACAAAATAATAAAAGGTTACTTTAATTTATATTTTAAAGATCATAAATATACAGGATCTAAATTTATATTATTAAAAAGAAGACGTAATTTATTAAGAAGAATACACGTAAGTAATGCTGAAATTAAACATACTAATAATAAAGCAATAATTACTCTGTATACTCTAAATAGAGAAAAAAATGTATTAAAAAAAAAATATTTAAAAATAAATAAAAAAATAAGTAAAAAATTAATAGCCAAACGTTATTTTTTATTATATAAAGAAAATATAGAAAAAATTTATAAAATCTTAGGTGAATATAAAGATCAATATATATTTATTAGTGATATAATAAGAAAAACCAAATTTATAAAATATAAACTAGAATATTTAAATAAATTTATAAAATTAAAAGATCTTTATTTAAAAAAAGTTTGAGGTGTTATTCTTAACCAATATGCGAGAAAATATCTAAAATACTTAAGAAAATATGACTTATTATATTCTCTTAATCAATATAAATTCAACAGATTGGTGTTTTTACCTAAATTAAGTAATATATTAAATAAAATTCTAGGAAAAAAAATAGAATATAATATAATTAATTTAAAATCTGTCGCATATCATACAGATCTTTTTACTAATGCATTAGCATTAAAATTAAGAAAAAGAAGAATAAATTATATAAATTCTATGTTTAGTATTTTAAATAGAGCATATTTACCTAATATTAATACGATTAAAGAAAGATCTATAATAAAAGGTGATCAAAAAATGGATCTATTTCAAAGTAAATTTAAAGATTTAAAAATAATATCTAATATAGTATTCCCAGCTATGCCGGAAGGCATCGCTGGAAGCTTGGCGCCAACCTCCTCTCTATCTAAACTGTTAGATGGTACATACCCTTCAGATATAAATAATGGAATAATGCATAGCAGCGATGCTAATAAAGAAAATATCCATAATACTATTTATAATTCTATTGGATATAAAAATATGGCAGGTATAAGATTAGAAGTTAAAGGTAGATTAACTAAACGTTACAGAGCGGATAGATCTATCTATTCATTAAAATGAAAAGGAGGATTAAAAAATGTAGATTCTTCTTTTAGAGGTTTAAGTTCAGTTTTATTTAGAGGTAATTCTAAATCAAATGTAACTTATTCAATAGCTAAATCAAAACGTCGTATTGGAGCCTTTGCAGTAAAAGGTTGAATAGGTGGAAAATAAAGAAAGGCGCAAGAGGCTTCTGATGAGTAGTCCAGAAGAATGCCCCCCACTTCGTTGGGATTAGTAGCCTTCTGAGTCCGAAGGACTACTCATCAGAAGGCTACTAATCCCGAGACTTCGTCTGTATTTCATATCCCTTACGGGATCAGAAATTAGACGAAGTGGGTCCGCCTGGGATATGGACTACTACTAAAATATATATATATAATAATAATGAAGACATAGTCTGAACCGTTTTGAAAAAAATGGAAATATAAGTGCTATAGCTATCCTTCGGTATTTCGTATACCGGAGGTATTGCTTGTACAGCAATAAAAAAATAAGGGGGGGACTTCGTTCCCACCTTCATAGGACGCTTTTATGATAACACATAGAACAGGCTAATTTGCGCAAGAGTGTACAAAATGAGTGCGCGGTTTGGCACCTCGATGTCGGCTTAACTTATCCTCATGGATGCAGGAACTATGTAGGGTGCGACTGTTCGTCGATTAAAAAGTTACATGAGCTGGGTTAAATACGTCGTGAGACAGTATGGTTTCTATCTTCTAGGGGGAATTAGAATATAATAAGAACTAACTTTTGTACGAAAGGAACAAGAAGAATTTAATTTGTAAAAGGGTTAAATAATAGTTACTAACCTATGGTTTACCTGTTGTCTATGTGCCCAAATATTAAAATATAGGATAAAAATTCTATATATCTGTATAGCTTTAGCTATACATAGGGATGTTTCTTTCACTAAGATAAATATATAGCATAGGCACGGCAGGAAAGCTAAGTTGGTTAAGGATAAGTGCTGAAAGCATATAGGCACGAAGCTTATCTTAAGATATTTCTTAAATATACGTAAAATATTATTACGAAGGATTAATATAGGCTTTATCCGTACGAATCTGGAGATTTTTAAGAATAAAGTACTAATTTTATAAATAACTATTTATACATATATCGCATGTACAATGCATGCCTATTTCTGCTCAGCAGAAATTAGCCAACCATACCTGGATATACTTTGCTATCGGGTGGTTTGGCTTTTTAAATTTTAGCAAATTGTAGCTAGAGCCTGATTAGCATAAAAGTAATGCAATTGTTTTGTAATCAATAGAAGTAAGTGCGATACTTGCATTGGGCTGACGAATAGTAAGGCGCCAGGGATAAAAAAAAAATAAGGCGTATCCCCCAGGCGGACCCCCCACTCCGTGGTCGACGGAGTGGTGTGGCGTGCCTCACACTTCGTTAGGAGAAGTCTCTCCCTAACGAAGTGTACACATATTCCCGGAGGGAATTAGGGAATTAGGGAGGCATTCTTCTGGGAATAGAGCTTGCTAGTACGCAGTACTACTCCTCTCATTATAGAGTTGCGTCTTATTGCCTAGCGAAGCTACTATTCTTCGAATCAGGCAAAGCTTACTGCTTTAGCAAGCTAGGATTAGTCGTCAAGTGGTAATATCACTTTAGACTTATTAGTGATGAATATTTTAAAGACTCTAATTTGACAAGTCTAGAAAGAGTCACTACTAGAGGTAGGGCGCCCATAAACCAGACTTCGTGCGATCCATATCCCTTTGGGTAGACTTCTGTCGCTAGCGCGATTTTTTTCTGTAGAAAAAAATAATCAGCAGGCTAAGGAGAGCTTGCTGTATTTTCGTCGCGGAAGAATCTTCCTCCTTCGGAGAGTACACTTCGTTAGGGGACTACAGCAAGCTCTATATTAAACTTAATAGTCTTAGCTGGCTTATGCGATAGCAAGTTAATACGCAGGCTAGTAAACTACAAAAAAAAAAGAGCTATTTTAGTAATCTTAGTGGTAAATAAGGCAGAGATGGGAGACTGCAATATTATACCTTAGTAGGGTGCAAATATCTCAGCTCGAGCTTCCACACCAAGATGAAGCTAAACCGATAGTGGTTATGGTTGGGTGCGGCCAATACATCCAGGTGCAACTCCTGTGGCTTCTCCCGTAAAGAGGATTCTGCCTCATTTTTTTAAGGCGCAAGCTTAAGCTTGCTGTAGACGAAGTCTCCCCTATTTCTTCGAAATTAGTCCTTCGGAGGGAGGGATATTAAAAGGACTAGTAGTCAAGCGGTTACGACATAGCTCTTTCAATGCTACCATCGTAGGTTCGAATCCTATCTAGTCTAAAGCGGATTGGTGTAATAGTAACACATTTGGCTCATGTCCAGAGGTTAGAGGTGCAAGTCCTTTGTCCGCGTAGGGCTATAACTTAATAGGTAAAGTGTACTGCTCATAACAGTAATTATAAGTGTTCAAGTCACTTTAGCCCTAAATCTGAGTGCTGGAATCGGTCCAAATATAACTAAAGACTCACTCCAGAAGAATGCCCCCCACTTCGTTGGGCAGACTTCTGTCGCTAGCGCGATTTTTTTCTGTAGAAAAAAATAATCAGCAGGCTAAGGAGAGAGATAATTTATTTGGAGAGGCGAAGCCTATCCAGCTCTCTCTAATATAAAAAACCCTAACACTAGATAGAGATTTGCACCGTAGTCTTAAGACAAGGCTATCCAGAAGAATGCCCCCCACTTCGTTGGGTAGACTTCTGTCGCTAGCGCGATTTTTTTCTGTAGAAAAAAATAATCAGCAGGCTAAGGAGAGCTTGCTGTATTTTCGTCGCGGAAGAATCTTCCTCCTTCGGAGAGTACGCTCCGCTAGCGAAGGCTAGTAAAGTGTATCTCAATGAGCTATATTCATTGGTGATAGACAGTTAAGAAAGACTATAGTTGTAGGAAGTAAGCAATTATAAGTTAATGGTAAACTATTCGTTTACCAAACGAATTTTGTCAGTTCGACTCTGGCTAATTGTAAAAAAAAATCCGAATGGTGAAATTGGTAAACACAACAAACTTAAAATTTGTAGGCAGAGTGCCTTGAAGGTTCAAGTCCTTTTTCGGATATTAAAGAGCTTGCTGAGTCCCTAATCCCGGAGGGATATGGACCCACCACTCCGTCGACGACGGAGTGGTGTGGCGTGCCTCACACTTCGTTAGGAGAAGTCTACCCCTAACGAAGTGTACTCGTCGAGAAGAATGCCCCCCACTTCGTTGGGATTAGGACTCAGCAAGCTCGAGCTTGCTGTAGACGAAGTCTCTCCCCTTCGGCGGAGAAGTCTACCCCCCCACTTCTAATTTCTGATCCCGTAAGGGATATGAAATACTAATTTCTGATCCCGTAAGGGATATGAAATACATATCTCTTCGAAATTAGAAGTCTCGGGTACGCAGGCTAGTCCTGCGGAGAGACTTCGTCTACGCCGACTACGAGTTTAAGTATAACACCTTGAAAACTGCGGGTTCTCTATACGGCTTTAAACATAGCCCTCAGACTATAGAACTTATACGTGCAGCTAAATTAGGTAAACCTCTATCCGAAGAGGCTAAAATAAAACTGGGAGCTAATTCTCAACCTTCAGGTGGTCTATTAGTAGATAATGATAATGTTGAAACCAATGAAGTTGTGTATTTTACTTCTATAAGAAGAGCCGCAGCTTTTATTAATATGCACCCTTCTTACCTAGCTAAATGTATAGCTAAAGAAGGTTTTATAGAGGTAGTAATATTCGTTTCACTATTCCCTACCCCTACGGGGGGCATTCATACACTTCGTTAGGGAGAGACTTCGTCTACGCAAGCTCCAGCAAGCTCTATACCCGGCTACGCCGGGAATAGAGCTTGCTAGTACGCAGTACTACTCCTCGTGGAAGAATAAACTCAGAAAACTTAAGCTTTTCTGAGTTATACTCGTGTGTTCAAACCACTCCTCAGTGCGCAAGCTCTATTTGAACGGTTATAGGTTAATGGTAGACTTGTCGATTTCCACTCGATTTGTGTCAGTTCGAATCTGACTAACCGTATTCTATAGGATTTAGTATAGTATAGTAGGATTTATAATTATACATACTATAATAATGCTATTGTATTCCACATAGCATCTACACTTCTTTTCAGTAACAGATAAGCTAGAGAAGGTATATATATACTGAGTATATAAAGCAAGCGATAAAAAAAAAAAATTAAAGAGGAGGAGTACGCTCCGCTACACAGAAAAAAAAAAATCGCGCTAGCGACCCCTTACTCATAGCAAGCTCTTTTTTTTCTTCAGAGCTTAGCTAGTATAAATAAGCGGGCGACTCAAACTTATTGTAAGCTTAGCCATCTAGCTTGTGCTGGATTAGCAAGTGGGCTATATCTTATAGAAAGAATTAAGAATATGAAGTTTCATGTGATGAAGAATGCGATAGTTAGAGCTATGTACGCTAATTTAGCGTGGGCGCACTCTTTGCTAGGGAACAAAGTTCCCTAGCAAAGTATAAAGATAAAAAATAAAGAGGAGTCTTTGCTAGGAACAATCTCATCCCCCTATTCCCCTAGGGGGAGAGACTTCGTCTCTCGCAAGCACGCTGATTCTTTTTATCCTAGCTACGACTAGATAAGCGACTTTAGTTTAGTACCTTAAGGAAGTACTGAAGGTAAGTAGGCTGTGTGCATAGCTCTAACTACCAAGTTCTAAAGAGCATAAAATGCTAATGTATATTATATGCGATTCGCGATTCCCTATTCCCAGAAGAATGCCTCCCTAATTCCCTAATTCCCTCCGGGAATACGGGAATATGGGAATATGAGTACACTTCGTTAGGGAATAGGAGTACACTTCGTTAGGGAGTATTTCTCCGGAGGGAGCAAGCTCTTATATATTTAGCCTGTAATTATAGCGCGGTTTAATATTCTTAAGGTGATATGGGGAGTAGACCTCGTATCTCCACCTCCGGCTCCCCACCATATTGGTGGGAGCGGGAGTCTTAGTAAGTCGTAGGCTATTATTATTAACTTAACTAAATGCGACTACTACTTTTATAAATAACAATACCTTAAAAATGAAAAAAAATATTAATCTTCTTTTAGTCCGTCTTTTCGTTAGATTCCCTTGATCTCTGCATTCTGATCCCAGCGAAGGGGGTAGACTTCGTCTCAGCAGAGATCTTCAACAATATATAAATCTTCGTACTTTTATAAATCGTCAGAAAATCAACAGGCTATCTAAAAATTCTATAGAACTTATTTCACGATATATCTTTAATATAAAATTATATCAATTTTTAGCTGTAGTTTTTATTCATGTAGCCGTTACATCTATTCAAATAGATTTGAATTTATTCTTAGAAGTGTTAAATAATCTTCCCGAAAATTTGGGATCATCCGTAGGCGTCCCAGAGCTAGCTAAAAACATTAAATTAGATAGTAATATAAATTATATCTTATGTTATAGTCATAGATCTTTATTTGGATTTAGGACTTATATATTAATGGTTTTAATATTATTTATAATATTTCCCATACTTTTTATAATACAAAATTATATTTTTATAATTTTAAGTATATTAAGTGTAATATTAGTTAAAGCTTTAGCTCTAAATTTTTATCAAAAACATTTTCAGTTTTTTTATAGTGGCTTGCCCAGTCATAAAAAAGTAGATTTTAGAGAAAAATTAGTGCACTTTATTACACTGATAATAAATAATATAGGGAAAATTATAAAGCATTTATTTAAAATGTGAATAATATCTATTATAATAATATATATTTTTAGATATTTGCTAGCTACTATGTTATTAAATATAGATGATAATAATAGTTTTATAATAACAATATTAATACTTACTCTTCCTTTACCTATGTTTTTTTATTTGCTAAATTTTATAGTGAAATATCTGAAGAAAGAATCTATAGAGGATAAAGATTATTATTTGTATAATGATTACGTAGTAAAAAGAGTAAATCTATATAGAATAACATGTACTATAATTGTAAACTACTTAATTCAAAACTATTATAGTACAATAATTATATCTATAATAATAAAAGGGTTTATTGTTATAATTATAACATTATTCACAATTTGTATAATATACGGTATCTTGCGAATAAATAAGCCAGGATGGCGTGCCTCACACTTCGTTAGTAGACAAAGTACAATATCGTGCAGTAGGGTTGACCCTCTCTCCGATGGCGATTCTGGAGTCCGAGCTTCCCTAACGAAGTGTATCCCTCCGGGAGAGAGGGTCGGAATAAATAAGCATGAGCCTATACCACTTAAGAGCGCATTGGATCTAGCGGGGTCAGCCAGCTATATAGCGGCATTTATATCACTAACTCCATTTTTACAGGAAGCATGTAATTCAGGTTTCAGTAAGTTTTATTTTAATGAAGGTAACCAAAGATATTACGAGTGGAAAGGCATACCTTTCCGTACGCCAGGTGTAGTAAAGTGTGGACCTGAACCAACCATCAATATCATGCAGGTGCGAAAAACAGAAATAGCCCTGGCGAAAGCGGCTGAAGAAGCTCGAAACCTACATAAAGTACCCGATACGGACGTGGGTATATATTATCGAAATCTAGATGCAGCCATAGAGAAAGAGGCTGCTCAAAACCTAAATAAAGAAGCCGTGGCGAAAGAGGGTGGGGCTTCTTTATCTAGATATTATCGAAATATAGATGAAACCATAAAGAAAAAGGCTGATTATGTACCTGTTACTGAATCTGTTCGACAAGGGCTAATAAAAGAATATAAAGATAAATTAAATAATTCTCCTATCGTAAATATTACGTGAAAACTTAAATATAATGAAGGTATTCAAAGATCGCAAGCTAATTTCACAGTAAAACCAATAAATTATTTTTATAATACTAAATTTTATGGGGCGGTTTCTTTGGTTTTAAAAGGGAGATTATTAATAGTTAATATAATTAGACATGACTTGCCTGGTTGTGTCTTTATGCCTACTTATTATTTACAAAATGCAAATGTTACGGATAGTTCAGCCAAAATTAGGGATATTACAACAACATTAGAATCTAAATATGGTATAATGTTACCCCAGATAGGGATAGATAAGGTGGAGAATAGAATTAATGGTTTAATAATATTTACTCAAGCCGAATCTATAGATAATACAAGTTTATTTAGAGTATGAAGGCCTTCATCGTATTATATGGAACCCGAACTAAAAACTGTAAAGAATTATTACCAAGAAAAAAGTCAAAATAATCTTAGAATTAGAGAATTTGATACTACTGATAGTATTAAATTCTCTAAAGACTTAAAGAAGGTAGTAGGAGTACAAGGGGAAGCTATAAAAATAGCTAATAATGAAAATTTTGTAATACATGAGGACAGATTGGCAGCCCGGAAGTTAGCTTTTTTTGAAAATACCTTAGACAACGAATATAGAAAATTAGTGGAATTTTATTTAACTAAAGGTCAAAAAGCTAACCCTAAGGATTTCATGATTTGAGAAGAAGATGGTTCAGATAAATCTAGACTTAAATTTAAAGACTTAATGTATAAAGCCCGGTCTGAAACAAAATCTGCTATTCAAAAAGATGAATATCTACTAGCTCGTCCTAAAGGAAAAGAATGGGATTTAGTAAAATTCGCAGAAAGGCGAATGTCTAAAAATGACAGTAATAATGAATATATGGATAATGATTGCTATTATTTCAAAACTCGTCGTGATTATCCTATAAACCGTTTATTAATAACTAGAAACCAAAGTCATATGACTTATTTTAGTATGTATAAAGAGGGAGTTGCGGAAGGTTATAAAATCAGAAGGCAAATGCTGGGTGAATTAGATGCTAGCATAAATTTACCATTAGAAAAATCTAGAGCAGAGTTAATAAAAAAAATCGCTAGTAAATTGACTAGAAGTGAATTTACTAAATTTCAGAATATTTATGGTGTTTCTATTAATAGACTTACATTTGAATTTTTTCAGTTAAAACCCACTGATAGTAAATATTTTGGAATAAACACTACAAGTACAACATTTGCTCCAATACTAGACAGAAATACAGATTACGAACTTTATAGCATTATAGACGTTAAAAATGATAGT